GAGACCCATTCCTGCAGGAGAGACAGGCTCGACCCATTTCTACAGGAGAGACCCATTCCTGCAGGAGAGGCAGGCTCGACCCATTCCTGCAGGAGAGACAGGAGAGACCCATTTCTGCAAAAGAAAAAGCAAGTTCGACCCATTCCGGTCACATTCACCTACAGCCCCGAGTTGGAAGTGCAACACTTTTTGGATACAAAATATGGTGTCTCCTCACTCCAGCCATAAAAAAATATAGAAAAATACTACCACCTTCGACCTCCGTCTGCAGGCCCGGACGGAGGTTCATATTTGTTTACAATTCTCACAATACAGAACAACATTTATAAATGTATTTGTAGATATGTATATGTTTATACAACATACATTTCTTGTATTCTGATGGAGTACTGCATAGGAAGGCTCGAGAAGGCTTTAAATACGAAAAGGCAACTTTGGAAGACTCGGGAAGGCTTTAAATACGAAAAGGCCACTTTGGAAGACTCGTTTGAAAAAGGATGAAGTAGAGATGAGAGAGATGATGTAATGAGTCCAGTCTCCTACAATGTAAAGAATAATGAGACAAGCGAGAGACGAGAAAAATGAGAACAGTAAAACTGTAGCGAGTTAGAGCAGATCAAAACTAGTATTTGAAGCTTTATATGGGTGACTGATGTATAGTGAAGGAAGAAGTTTTATGTCCTACCGAACAGAAGGTGATGGGTTGTGTATGCAGGTGTGGCAGGGAGCAGAGGTGTGAATGGATATAATAGAAAGAACACATATACACACATTTTTTTACTGTGTGTGTGTGTGTGTGTGTGTGTGTGTGTGTGTGTGTGTGTGTGTGTGTGTGTGTGTGTGTGTGTGTGTGTGTGTGTGTGTGTGTGTTTAAAGAAAGGAGTTCGTTCCTGCATGTGAACAAGTGAACACGATATACAGCATTCACTCAGTGTTATTCCCCTGCCGATTCCCTCCTGTCTTCGTCTGCGGGACTCTACCCGCTTGCTATCTTGTCGTCTCCTGCCCCTTGCCCATTGAGCCCCCTTCCCTTCCCCTTCCCCCGATTTCCCCACCCATCCCTCACACAGGACCAACACAGCTGAGGCAGCATATCGTCGCTGCACGATATACTAGCGTGAAAACTACGACCATAACTGTCCGCAAGAAGAGAGAAATAAGTGTGATTTAAGGACAATTATGTTGCATAAGCGGCCTCACCTCTCAGCCATTTTAATAATAGGTATCTGCAAGGGCGCGGTAGTTGCACGGATGAACGGCCAGGTATCGATGTATTGTTGTATTTATCACTTTTATGAGGTGCTTTGAAGCGGGGGATCGCGTTTTCCAGCCGGATTTAGGTGTACTGAATGACTGTCACAGCAACCGTTAATTTGCGCATCAGCAGTGGAGATGGGATAGTGTGCTCATACGGCAACTATCTCTTCCAAAGATGAGAATAAGAGAGGAGGGTTGATAGTGTCTCATGTTGACCAAACCACACACACTAGAAAGTGAAGAGACGACGACGTTTCGGTCCGTCCGGGACCATTCTTAAGTCGATTGTGTTCGACACAATCAACTTGAGAATGCTCCAGGACGGACCGAAACGTCGGCGTCCCTTCACTTTCTAGTGTGTGGTTTGGTCATCATATTTCAGCCACGTCATTGTGACTCCTCGTCTGCATAGTGTCTCATCTCGATTCTCTCTTATGAGGTTTCATTCTCTCATTCTCTCTCCTCTCTCTCTCTCTCTCTCTCTCTCTCTCTCTCTCTCTCTCTCTCTCTCTCTCTCTCTCTCTCTCTCTCTCTCTCTCTCTCTCTCTCTCTCACACACACCCAATATCACAAGGGAGCAATAAAGACAGCAGTCTGGTTGGAGATGGATGAAGATACATATATTAAGAATATAAGAACAATAACATTCATAAAGCATTTTGAGAGACTTGATAGAGAATCATTGTTAAAGATTGAGAGGCCAACCCCCGAATCCTGATTGTTAAACGGAGCAAACAACATGGACACACGTGTCTAGAGAGCAACAGCTCTATCACTCTAACTAAAACATAGATTAACTCGATACATAATCATAATTACAAGAATAATTAATTCTTAGATTCATTAACTCATATTTAACTGTAGTTATGACAAAAAAAACTCTTGACGAAACATGTCTTATATGCTAAAATCTGTTGTAGCAAAAATTGCAACATCAAGCTCATAGTTATTCTCTAAATGGATTCCTCATTCCAGGAAAACCCTGTTATCTTCTGTGATAAATGAAAATCGATCATAAATAACACCGATAATGCAGATAACTGTAATCGTTTGGGTCTAAATAGCAATAGAGATAATTGGAACGCTGTCAGGAAACCAGCTAGTATGACAGGTAACAGACATGATGTTACTAGACAGGCTAACGTCACCATCCAATAAGCAATGACTCCTAACTTGAAGTAAACGTGTTATAGACCTAATTAATACCACTTACTAGGACTTATTCATCCAGGTAGGCATGCTTTAGCCAGCTGTAACGAAAACATTGTTTGATTTACAGTAGATATATTTAGGCATTAATTAAGGGAATGTTGTAATGGTTCCAAACTATAGAGGGAAATAGAGAAATGTCCCAAAGAAGTATTAAAGAAATTACAACGAGATTTGAGTGACAAACTACGGACAACTTTCAGAACACCAACAATGTAGAGAGAACCTATAGTAAAGTCGTGTACAAACTTCGAACTATCGCTAGGGACAACACCATATTTTTTGAGTGCCAATATCCTAGATTTTTTTAAATATAAAATATTGAAAAAAAATAAAGTCAGCAGGGACGGCAAAACACTCAACAGAGCCAACAGGAGTAAAAACAAAACTCGTAAGAAAAGCGCAAATTGGAAGGCAACGCTCTGGACTGAGTATGAACGCCTTAGATGAGTGTCTTATTTGGCTACACTTTCGAGGATTATGCAGAGGAAAGAAACCCTGAGGTCAGTGTATATTCACTGGGCTTTTTCTAGTTGCCAGCCCCAAGTCCTTGGGCTGCTCTCGTGGCCAGCCCCCTACTCCCTAGACCTGCGTCTTGGGTAGCCCCCTACTCCCTGGACCTGCATCTCGGGCAGCCCCCTACTCCCCAGACCTGCGTCTTGGGCAGCCCCTACTCCCTGGACCTGCGTCTTGGACAGCCCCTACTCCCTGGACCTGCGTCTACGGAAGCCCCCTACTCCCTCGACTTGCGTCTACGGAAGCCCCCTACTCCCTGGACTTGCGTCTTAGGAAGCCCCCTACTCCCTGGACTTGCGTCTTATGAAGCCCCCTACTCCCTGGACTTGCGTCTTATGAAGCCCCCTACTCCCTGGACTTGCGTCTTATGAAGCCCCCTACTCACTGGACTTGCGTCTTAAGAAGCCCCCTACTCCCTGGACCTGCGTCTTGGACAGCCCCTACTCCCTGGACTTGCGTCTTAAGAAGCCCCCTACTCCCCGGACCTGCGTCTTGGGCAGCCCCCCTACTCCCCGGACCTGCGTCTTGGGCAGCCCCCACTGCCTCGCCATGAAACACTGCTCTCGTAAATATTACCGCTATGATTTGCAATTATCATTTTTCTTCCCTCCTCTATAATCACTTAACTATTCCAATAAATAATATTATCGTTTCAAGCCAATATTTATTGAGTGGCTCCTCAAAAATGTATTTAATAATATGAACCATTATCTTTTTTTTTTTGTAAAAAAAAATATGTGTTTTGTCCCCGTATGAGCATTCATATATATGTATACATCCATACATTCATACATACATATACCCAGAAGTACACTCCATTTCTCGGTGTACATAGTCAACAATAGCTTACCTTGGTTCTGGACTATGTTCAGTACTAATTTAGAATACCTACTGATAACCACTTCCTATGGTGAGAACCAGGCAATTGAACCGGACGGTACAGCGATGGCTTCTTTTCTTGCAGGCCCGAGATCGATCCTCGATGGTACTAGTGATTGAGTAACAGTCTTTCCCTCCGTCCCCTTTTCCCCAGCGCCTATTCTGTTCTCGAATCCTTTCCATGTGTCATATGGCCGTCCTGGGTGAGCGCTTTCTCCTCATCATTTCCCTTCCTTCCATTCCATGGTGATGTAGGATTTACTCTGTGCTATAGCCTAAGATGTGAACATTGTTCTTTTAAAATCAATGGGAGTAAAATATTGCTCTCGCCTGATTGGATTGTGATTTTTATCTCTGAGATCCTGGCCAATAGAAATCGATCACATGACTTATCTTTGATATCTTGGACAACGGAAATCAATCACACATCTTATCTTCGATATCCTGGCCTACATAAATCAATCACGTAACTTATTTTTGATATCCTCACCAACAGAAATCGATCACAACTCATTTCTGATATCCTAGTTAATAAGAACCTACAATGTATCACACCTGACTAAGAGAGAGCCACATTACCCGATCACATCACCAATTAATAGGATTGCTGGCTGTGCCATTTTCTTAATAAGCTAATTAAAGAAATATTAATTAATTAATTAAACAAATATCCTAATAATAACGTAAAAAACTTAATATTTTGAGCCAACATAGCAGGAGGGAGGGAAGGAGTTATCAGGGGGAAAGCGCCAAGCCATCGCGACTATATAGCACTTGGAAGTGGGGTCAGGATAAGGATTTGGGATGGGACAGAGGGAAAGGAATGGTGCCCAACCACTTGAACGGTCCGGGATTGAACCCAGACCTGCATGAAGCGAGACCGTCGCTCTACCGTCTAGCCCAAGTGATTGGATGGAGCACAGGAGGAACCGTAGGTATCGATTGGAAGGTTTAAGGGTTAAACATTAAACTCTAAATAAATAAACTTCTACGTGATAGCATGTGAGATGTATTTTGCCTGATACTCTTTAATTACTCTTTATGTATACAAGAACACTTTCACCTTTGTTTCCCCCGTATGCATTTGTAAGAGGAAGATGGATTGCTATTTTTCTTACAATGTTATCATTCATTTTCAGCGACACGTCTGCTGTCCGGCGGAGGCGCCGGGCCGCTGGAGTTCTCGGAGCCTCGTTACTGCGCTGTTCTGTCTGAAGACTCCCACCTGGCGGCCACGGTCCTCACTGTCGCCGCCACGCACAGGCACGGTCAGTCACCACCACACACACAGGCACGGTCAGTCACCACCACACACACAGGCACGGTCAGTCACCACCACCACACACAGGCACGGTCAGTCACCACCACGCACAGGCACGGTCAGTCACCACCACACACAGGCACGGTCAGTCACCACCACACACAGGCACGGTCAGTCACCACCACCACACACAGGCACGGTCAGTCACCACCACACACACAGGCACGGTCAGTCACCACCACACACAGGCACGGTCAGTCACCACCACCACACACAGACACGGTCAGTCACCACCACACACAGGCACGGTCAGTCACCACCACCACACACAGGCACGGTCAGTCACCACCACACACAGGCACGGTCAGTCTCCACCACACACAGGCACGGTCAGTCACCACCACCACACAGGCACGGTCAGTCACCACCACACACAGGCACGGTCAGTCTCCACCACACACAGGCACGGTCAGTCACCACCACACACACAGGCACGGTCAGTCACCACCACACACAGGCACGGTCAGTCACCACCACCACACACAGGCACGGTCAGTCACCACCACACACAGGCACGGTCAGTCACCACCACACACAGGCACGGTCAGTCACCACCACCACACAGGCACGGTCAGTCACCACCACACACAGGCACGGTCAGTCTCCACCACACACAGGCACGGTCAGTCACCACCACACACACAGGCACGGTCAGTCACCACCACACACAGGCACGGTCAGTCACCACCACCACACACAGACACGGTCAGTCACCACCACACACAGGCACGGTCAGTCACCACCACCACACACAGGCACGGTCAGTCACCACCACACACAGGCACGGTCAGTCACCACCACACACAGGCACGGTCAGTCTCCACCACACACAGGCACGGTCAGTCACCACCACACACAGGCACGGTCAGTCACCACCACACACAGGCACGGTCAGTCACCACCACACACACAGGCACGGTCAGTCTCCACCACACACAGGCACGGTCAGTCACCACCACACACACAGGCACGGTCAGTCACCACCACACACAGGCACGGTCAGTCACCACCACACACAGGCACGGTCAGTCACCACCACCACACACACAGGCACGGTCAGTCACCACCACACACAGGCACGGTCAGTCACCACCACACACACAGGCACGGTCAGTCACCACCACCACACACAGGCACGGTCAGTAACCACCACCACACACAGACACGGTCAGTCACCACCACACACAGGCACGGTCAGTCACCACCACACACAGGCACGGTCAGTCACCACCACACACACAGACACAGTCTCCACCACCACACACAGGCACGGTCAGTCACCACCACACACAGGCACGGTCAGTCACCACCACACACAGGCACGGTCAGTCTCCACCACACACACAGACACAGTCTCCACCACCACACACAGGCACGGTCAGTCACCACCACACACAGGCACGGTCAGTCACCACCACACACACAGGCACGGTCAGAATACACCACCACACACATATACAAACACACACACAAACAGTCAGCTCATATCAATAAACTAATGATTGCTGCCTTTAATACACTCACCATGTGACAAAGACGACCAAAATCCCTGTAAATATTGCTTGCACTAGTTAGCTAATTTCGAACCATGTTATAGATCCCATCTTATAGGACCATGTTGACTGGCAGTGGGTAGACCTATGGTATTGCTCTTGACAAATATTTTTTACTGTCAACATTCATCTAACTTTCTCCATTACTTGATTTCTTTATCTTCTTTATATTTGAGTTGCCCCTTCAATCTTTTTTTTTGTCTCTGATCAGAAGTTTCATGAATTAATTATCAGTATTTCAGTACTTTAGCCTGTCTCGTGAGGATAATTTCAAACAAAAATTTTGTAGGTGTGATCTGTGTGTGTGTGTGTATTCACTTAGTTGAATTCACCTAGTTATGCTTTAGGGGGTTGAGCTCTGTTCTTTCGGCCCACCTCTCAACTGTCATTCAATCAACTGTTACTAACTACTATTTTTTTTACTACTACACACACACACACACACACACACACACACACACACACACACACACACACACACACACACACACACACACACACACACACACACACACACACACACACACACACACACACACACACACACACACACACAACACACACACGCACACAAACACACACACACACAGGAAGCAGCCCGTAACAGCTGTCTAACTCCCAGGTACCTATTTACTCCTAGGTAACAGGAGCATCGGGGTGAAAGAAACTTTCTGCCATCACCGGGGATCGAACCCGGACACTATGATTATGAGTCCAGAGCGCTGTCCACTCAGCTATCAGGCCCCCCCTGATAGGACGGTGTATGGTTGTGTTTGTGTGTGTGTTTGGGTATTGCCTTAGCTTTGTTTCCCATTTTCCATCTAGCCACGGTACCATCAACCCACTACCCCGTGTCGCCACTGGCCTCCGGCCCGGTCCTCCTCGGCCACGCCGCTGTCCGTCGGCCCCGGGACATCTCGGACCAGCGAACATATACCCCGTTCCGGAGAGAGTAATTTTCTGGGGAAGAAAAACGTATGTAGGCAGGAGGAGCCTTGCGCCTCTAAGGGTGTGTGACTGTGGTCGGGGAACACATCTGCATGCTGGAGGATAAATGTGTGGATTATGGTAAGCGGGGAAGGGGGGCAAAGGGAGGGGGGGGGGTTAACTTTCGAGGTGGTGGCCCTGGAGCATCGCGAGGTCCAGATTCCAGCCTCCCTACCCACCCACCCACCCCTCATTATGACTATTCATCTTGTGCATTTTTCACAGAGGAAGGCGGAAGCCCTGCTCCTTCGTCAGTGCCACTGAGAGACCGAGTTTTACCGCGACCCGTTCATGCTAAGAGGGATTGTGTGTGTTTATGTGTATAACTGACATGTGTATAACAGTTTGTTAATCCAGGTTTGTATGAGGTTGCCCAATGTTTACGGGAGATGTAACATGGGTTACGAAACAGAGGAAACCACGAAGAAATCTGGTTAGCCTGAGTTCACTTCTCTTATAGGGTAAGAGTTTCTGTGTTAAATAATACTTGTGGTTTACATATATATATATATATATATATATATATATATATATATATATATATATATATATATATATATATATATATATATATATATATATATATATACCTGCGCCTGCCTCCTCCTCCTCCTCCTCTCGCAGGTGCGGGCGTGCGGTGCAGCAGCACATGTCCTGCGGTAACCCGCCTGCCTCCTCCTCCTCCCGCAGGTGCGGGCGTGCGGTACAGCAGCACATATCCTGCGGTAACCCGCCTGCCTCCTCCTCCTCCCGCAGGTGCGGGCGTGCGGTACAGCATCACGGGCGGTAACAAGGACGGACTCTTCACCATCGACCAGCACTCTGGGGTCATCACTCTGGCCGCCGCACTCGACTACGAGACCCACGACAAGGTGAGTTGTCACGCCCACCACACTGTCACGCCCACCACACTGTCACGCCCACCACACTGTCACGCCCACCACACTGTCACGCCCACCACACCGTCACGCCCACCTCACTGTGGCGCCCACCACACTGTCACGCCCACCACACTGTCACGCCCACCTCACTGTGGCGCCCACCACACTGTCACGCCCACCACACTGTCACGCCCACCACACTGTCACGCCCACCACACTGTCACGCCCACCACACTGTCACGCCCACCACACTGTCACGCCCACCACACTGTCACGCCCACCACACTGTCACGCCCACCACACTGTCACGCCCAATACACTGTCACGCCCACCACACCGTCACGCCCACCTCACTGTGGCGCCCACCACACTGTCACGCCCACCACACTGTCACGCCCACCTCACTGTGGCGCCCACCACACTGTCACGCCCACCACACTGTCACGCCCACCACACTGTCACGCCCACCACACTGTCACGCCGCCCACCACACTGTCACGCCCACCACACTGTCACGCCCACCACACTGTCACGCCCACCACACTGTCACGCCCACCACACTGTCACGCCCACCACACTGTCACGCCCACCACACTGTGTACGAATATCAGCATTATACAAACATCTGGATCCAATCTACCGGGAAATTTTAAGAGCCTTAATATAAAAGTTTGACTATAGTTACATTCAGTCATATTAGTTATAACCGCAAATGTGTGATACTAAAAGATATATCCAAAGTATTAAGTATTGTCTTGTCAAGTATTAAGTGAGTGAGTAATTACTTACTCACACCGTGCCTGTGCGTTAACAGTGGTCGCCATGTCCTCTGAGAGTTTCCATGTCTTAATTGGTTATCATTCTACTTCCTCCTCCCCTTCGTGCGGCGTGGACCTGCTGGCGGTGCGGCAGCACGAGCTGGTGGTGGCTGCGGAGGCCGCCGGCGGCCACACCGTACACACCATGGTACAGGTGCGAGTCGCTGACGTCAACGACAACCCGCCCTACTTCCTCAACCCGCAGCCGCAGGTCACCGTCGTTGAGGAGGACGACCGCCACCTCCCAGCGACCATCGCTAAGGTCAGTCTTGAAGACCAGGTGCTACTGCAGGACTTTATATTGCCAGGTGTAGGTGTTGGTGCTTGCTTGAGTGTCTGGTGAGTGTTGGTGCTTGCTTGTGTGTCAGGAGGGTGTTGGTGCTTGCTTGAGTGTCCTTAAAGTGTTGGTGCTTGCTGGAGTGTCAGGTGGGTGTTGGTGCTTGCTTGAGTGTCTGGTGGGTGTTGGTGCTTGCTTGAGTGTCCTTAAAGTGTTGGTGCTTGCTTGAGTGTCCTTAAAGTGTTGGTGCTTGCTTGAGTGTCTTTAAAGTGTTGGTGCTTGCTTGAGTGTCCTTAAAGTGTTGGTGCTTGCTTGTCTGGAGAGTGTTGGTGCTTGCTGGAGTGTCAGGTGGGTGTTGGTGCTTGCTTGAGTGTCTGGTGGGTGTTGGTGCTTGCTTGAGTGTCCTTAAAGTGTTGGTGCTTGCTTGAGTGTCTGGTGAGTGTTGGTGCTTGCTTGAGTGTCTGGTGAGTGTTGGTGCTTCCTGGAGTGTCTGGTGAGTGTTGGTGCTTGCTTGAGTGTCTGGTGAGTGTTGGTGCTTCCTGGAGTGTCTGGTGAGTGTTGGTGCTTGCTTGAGTGTCTGGTGAGTGTTGGTGCTTCCTGGAGTGTCTGGTGAGTGTTGGTGCTTCCTGGAGTGTCTGGTGAGTGTTGGTGCTTCCTGGAGTGTCTGGTGAGTGTTGGTGCTTCCTGGAGTGTCTGGTGAGTGTTGGTGCTTGCTTGAGTGTCTGGTGGGTGTTGGTGCTTCCTGGAGTGTCTGGTGAGTGTTGGTGCTTCCTGGAGTGTCAGGTGGGTGTTGGTGCTTCCTGGAGTGTCTGGTGAGTGTTGGTGCTTCCTGGAGTGTCTGGTGGGTGTTGGTGCTTCCTGGAGTGTCAGGAGGGTGTTGGTGCTTCCTGGAGTGTCTGGTGAGTGTTGGTGCTTCCTGGAGTGTCTGGTGAGTGTTGGTGCTTCCTGGAGTGTCTGGTGGGTGTTGGTGCTTCCTGGAGTGTCAGGAGGGTGTTGGTGCTTGCTTGAGTGTCTGGTGAATGTTGGTGCTTCCTGGAGTGTCTGGTGAGTGTTGGTGCTTGCTTGAGTGTCTGGTGAGTGTTGGTGCTTGCTTGAGTGTCAGGAGGGTGTTGGTGCTTGCTTGAGTGTCAGGAGGGTGTTGGTGCTTGCGTTCATGAAGGGGCCAAGACGTTCATGAAAGGGCCAAGACGTTCATGAAGGGGCCAAGACGTTCATGAAAGGGCCAAGACGTTCATGAAGGGGCCAAGACGTTCATGAAGGGGCCAAGACGTTCATGAAGGGGCCAAGACGTTCATGAAGGGGCCAAGACGTTCATGAAGGGGCCAAGACGTTCATGAAGGGGCCAAGACGTTCATGAAGGGGCCAAGACGTTCATGAAGGGGCCAAGACGTTCATGAAGGGGCCAAGACGTTCATGAAGGGGCCAAGACGTTCATGAAGGGGCCAAGACGTTCATGAAGGGGCCAAGACATGAAGGGGCCAAGACGTTCATGAAGGGGCCAAGACGTTCATGAAGGGGCCAAGACGTTCATGAAAGGGCCAAGACGTTCATGAAGGGGCCAAGACGTTCATGAAGGGGCCAAGACGTTCATGAAGGGGCCAAGACGTTCATGAAGGGGCCAAGACGTTCATGAAGGGGCCAAGACGTTCATGAAGGGGCCAAGACGTTCATGAAGGGGCCAAGACGTTCATGAAAGGGCCAAGACGTTCATGAAGGGGCCAAGACGTTCATGAAGGGGCCAAGACGTTCATGAAGGGGCCAAGACGTTCATGAAGGGGCCAAGACGTTCATGAAGGGGCCAAGACGTTCATGAAGGGGCCAAGACGTTCATGAAAGGGCTAAAAGATTCAAGATAGGAGGATTTTCGATATTGTATATATATATTTTGTTTTTTTACTGTTAATATCCTCTGATTGAATTTTTATTTTGTTAGCTTCTTAATTAATACAGATTGAAATAATGTACTTTTTAATGAATAATTTTTTGTTAATCTTTTCTGAGTAATTGTCTTCTCAATGTTAAAATTCATAAGGGGGTATATTCTCCCAATTTTTTTTATAAATATAATTAACCGAAAATGGACATCTTCCTCTAATTCCATTATGTATATAATAGAAGTACCCCCTCTAGTGCAATTGTAGGGACCCATAGCCTCGAAGAAGAAAATTAAGAGTATTCAGAGAAGACCTTGTGGATTCTCACTGATCACTTTAATTTTTTTTTCGCCTACCACCCCTATTCTTTTTATTATATATATATATATATATATATATATATATATATATATATATATATATATATATATATATATATATATATATATATATATTTATTTCATATATACATTTCAAATACTGCTTTCGTATATTTATATATTCACATTATACATAATCATATTCATTCATATCTACATATAACCATACTTAAAGTTGAATGTAATTATTTAAATTGATGCATATCAGTTAATCGTTATTATTCATATTTCATATAAATTCACATTTGGTTTTGGAGAGTAACAGTGTGTTGTTGGTGATGAGGTAGTGTTGGAGAGTGTTGGAGATACTAACAGAGTAGTGTTGGAGATACTAACAGAGTAGTGTTGGTGGGTGTTGGAGATACTAACAGAGTAGTGTTGGTGGGTGTTGGAGATACTAACAGAGTAGTGTTGGAGATACTAACAGAGTAGTGTTGGTGGGTGTTGGAGACACTAACAGAGTAGTGTTGGTGGGTGTTGGAGATACTAACAGAGTAGTGTTGGAGATACTAACAGAGTAGTGTTGGTGGGTATTGGAGATACTAACAGAGTAGTGTTGGAGATACTAACAGAGTAGTGTTGGTGGGTATTGGAGATACTAACAGAGTAGTGTTGGTGAGTGTTGGAGATACTAACAGAGTAGTGTTGGTGGGTATTGGAGATACTAACAGAGTAGTGTTGGTGGGTATTGGAAATACTAACAGAGTAGTGTTGGTGAGTGTTGGAGATACTAACAGAGTAGTGTTGGTGGGTGTTGGAGATACTAACAGAGTAGTGTTGGTGGGTGTTGGAGATACTAACAGAGTAGTACTAACAGTAGTGGAGATACTAACAGAGTAGTGTTGGTGTGTTGGAGATACTAACAGAGTAGTGTTGGTGGGTAGGAGATACTAACAGAGTAGTGTTGGTGGGTAGATACTAACAGAGTAGTGTTGGTGGGTATTGGAGATACTAACAGAGTAGTGTTGGTGAGTGTTGGAGATACTAACAGAGTAGTGTTGGTGGGTATTGGAGATACTAACAGAGTAGTGTTGGTGAGTGTTGGAGATACTAACAGAGTAGTGTTGGAGAGTGTTGGAGATACTAACAGAGTAGTGTTGGTGAGTGTTGGAGATACTAACAGAGTAGTGTTGGTGGAGTGTTGGAGTAGTGTTGGATACTAACAGAGTAGTGTTGGTGGGTGTTGGAGATACTAACAGAGTAGTGTTGGTGGGTGTTGGAGATACTAACAGAGTAGTGTTGGTGGAGATACTAACAGAGTAGTGTTGGTGGGTGTTGGAGATACTAACAGAGTAGTGTTGGAGATACTAACAGAGTAGTGTTGGTGGGTATTGGAGATACTAACAGAGTAGTGTTGGTGGGTGTTGGAGATGAGTAGTGTTGGTGGGTGTTGGAGATACTAACAGAGTAGTGTTGGTGGGTATTGGAAATACTAACAGAGTAGTGTTGGTGGGTAGATACTAACAGAGTAGTGTTGGTGGGTGTTGGAGATAAGATACTAACAGAGTAGTGTTGGTGGGTGTTGGAGATACTAACAGAGTAGTGTTGGTGGGTATTGGAGAATACTAACAGAGTAGTGTTGGTGGGTATTGGAAATACTAACAGAGTAGTGTTGGTTACTAACAGAGTAGGTTGGTGGGTATTGGAGATACTAACAGAGTAGTGTTGGTGGTGTTGGATACTAACAGAGTAGTGTTGGTGGGTATTGGAGATAATTGGAGATACTAACAGAGTAGTGTTGGTGGTGATTGGAGATACTAACAGAGTAGTGTTGGTGAGTGTTGGAGATACTAACAGAGTAGTGTTGGTGGGTGTTGGAGATACTAACAGAGTAGTGTTGGAGATACTAACAGAGTAGTGTTGGTGATTGTTGGAGATACTAACAGAGTAGTGTTGGTGGGTGTTGGAGATACTAACAGAATAGTGTTGGAGATACTAACAGAGAAGTGTTGGTGGGTGTTGGAGATACTAACAGAGTAGTGTTGGAGATACTAACAGAGTAGTGTTGGTGAGTGTTGGAGATACTAACAGAGTAGTGTTGGTGGGTGTTGGAGATTCTAACATAATAGTGTTGGAGATACTAACAGAGAAGTGTTGGTGGGTGTTGGAGATACTAACAGAGTAGTGTTGGAGAGTGTTGGAGATACTAACAGAGTAGTGTTGGAGATACTAACAGAGTAGTGTTGGTGAGTGTTGGAGATACTAACAGAGTAGTGTTGGTGGGTGTTGGAGATACTAACAGAGTAGTGTTGGTGGGTGTTGGAGATACTAACAGAGTAGTGTTGGTGGGTGTTGGAGATACTAACAGAGTAGTGTTGGTGGGTGTTGGAGATACTAACAGAGTAGTGTTGGTGGGTGTTGGAGATATAACAGAGTAGTGTTGGTGGGTATTGGAGATACTAACAGAGTAGTGTTGGAGAGTGTTAGAGATACTAACAGAGTAGTGTTGGTGGGTGCAGGTGGAGGCGGTGGACAAGGACTGGATGGATCATCACGGACTGCTCTATACTGTCAGAGGCGACGGAGTTGATGGTCACCCTCACGACGACGCCTTCTTCTCCATCAACTCCCTCACAGGAGAGTTGATCCAGTTGAGGGTAAGTAGCTAGGGAGAGTGTTCTTCTCCATCAACTTTCCTCACAGGAGAGTTGATCCAGTTGAGGGTAAGTAGCTAGGGAGAGTGTTCTTCTCCATCAACTTTCCTCACAGGAGAGTTGATCTAGTTGAGGGTAAGTAGCCAGGGGAGAGTGTTCTTCTCCATCAACTTTCCTCACAGGAGAGTTGATCTAGTTGAGGGTAAGTAGCCAGGGGAGAGTGTTCTTCTCCATCAACTTTCCTCACAGGAGAGTTGATCTAGTTGAGGGTAAGTAGCCAGGGGAGAGTGTTCTTCTCCATCAACTTTCCTCACAGGAGAGTTGATCTAGTTGAGGGTAAGTAGCCAGCTGTAAGTCAGTCGTCCCCCAAACTATCCTCTTCATCTAATACATCGCATCTCTCACGCAATGAACCAATGCACGAAAAATGCAACGTTTTCATAAACACGAAAGCACCGTGATTTATTTTGAGATAATTCCGAGTTAAATTAGAATTATGCTGTAAAATAATAATTGAGATATGGCTAGAAGCATAGTCATTGCTAAAACAATTACATTTGGAATTTTGTTCTAGGTAAATGGGACCCAAAAACTATTTCAATATTTACGTTTGTTGCGTCCCAACTTTTGCCAGAGTTTAGAGGATGTCACGTTGAGCTGGCGGGAAGATTGATGGTAGGTTGTGACGTGTTGAGCTCCTCTGTAGTGGGACGGAGTAGTGAGGACCTCTACTGTGGGTGTAGAGGTGGTGCTGCTGTGGGGGACGGGGGGTAGTTGGCCCCTCTATGGAAGGGGTAGTTGGCCCCTCTATGGAAGGGGTAGTTGGCCCCTCTATGGAAGGGGTAGTTGGCCCCTCTATGGAAGGGGTAGTAACTGAATGGGAAGGGATGAGAATATAAAAGAGGCATGGTTCTATGAGTTATGAGTTGGCCGAAGTCACATTATTAATATCTTACACCAACACCTGTTCTCATGCAGGTATTGGTCCACACGCCACACTACCAGTACCTCACACCAACACCTGTTCTCATGCAGGTATTGGTCCACACGCCACACTACCAGTACCTCACACCAACACCTGTTATCATGCAGGTATTGGTCCACACGTCACACTACCAGGCCCTCACACCAACACCTGTTATCATGCAGGTATTGGTCCACACGCCACACTACCAGTACCTCACACCAACACCTGTTATCATGCAGGTATTGGTCCACACGCCACACTACCAGTACCTCACACCAACACCTGTTATCATGCAGGTATTGGTCCACACGCCACACTACCAGGCCCTCACACCAACACCTGTTCTCATGCAGGTATTGGTCCACACGCCACACTACCAGTACCTCACACCAACACCTGTTATCATGCAGGTATTGGTCCACACGTCACACTACCAGGCCCTCACACCAACACCTGTTATCATGCAGGTATTGGTCCACACGCCACACTACCAGTACCTCACACCAACACCTGTTATCACGCAGGTATTGGTCCACACGTCACACTACCAGTACCTCACACCAACACCTGTTATCATGCAGGTATTGGTCCACACGCCACACTACCAGTACCTCACACCAACACCTGTTATCACGCAGGTATTGGTCCACACGCCACACTACCAGGCCCTCACATCAACACGTATCTCTTGCAGGCTTTGGATCGCGACCCGCCCCGGGGGAAGGAGGTGTGGAGGGTGAGGGTGCAGGTGCGGGATGGCCAGGCCCTCTGGAGCAGACAGGCCATGGACCAACTTCTCGCTGCCAAATCCAACAACCAGGCCGACAACCACATCGAAGGAGAAAAGCTAAATGAAGATGCCGGAGAGAAATCTTCATCACCGCAACAGAATCTTAAGATTCACACCAAAAGGAGGAGACGAAGGAATAAAAATAGCAATGATAAGTTAAACGATGGATATTCCATAGAAGGGGCCATCAAGGAACATTTATCTCTGTCAGATGGTAAACGCAGACACGCTGAGGCTGCTCAGTTACCCGAGCAGCAGCAGCAGACAGCAGACATGAAAGAGGAAGCCTGGATACGTCGAGAAGTTATGCAGACCAAGTCAAACGGTATTCAGAGAGGTGCGAACTTGAGTGCACGAATACGCATAAATAATGTCCAGGACAATCACCAGGATATTGATAGGACTGGCGTGACGAAGGCAGGAGCAGCCACAAGGACCGCTGCTGGGCACCACGACAGAGAAAATGATAACATAATTGGTCAAAGCTTTACAAATAACCCTTATAGTGATCAGCTTCTCCACAAGTCAGAATACAGCAACATAAATGGTGCTCTGCTGATGAAAGAACAAGATTCTGTCGTAGAACAAAAGAGTGACGAATTAAAGTTAGGAAGACATTATAACCAAGGGGACAAACCATCGCGTCCTGAAGCACAGAGATTGGTAATATCTACCAGCCAATTAGCACATACTGCACGATCATACTTCAACATGCTCTCTAACACACACACGATAAATGATCAATATTCACACTCAGAATCCAATCATCACGGTCAAAAAGCCTCCATTAAGTCAGAGAAATCGACGTCCTCCATTCGTTACGAGACAGTGTTGACCACAGAACAGAAGAAAGCACCGAACTCAAGAAATGTATTTCGTCCAAAATCAAAGGAGAGGGAGACGCGGGATATCACAGCAGCAGAGGAAAGTGCTGCAACATTCTTACGCAAATTCGAAGATTTAACCCCACACCTGAGTGGCCATGAAACAAACGTAAACGCTTACAAAGATTTTCGACGCACGCACCGTATCTCAAGCAATAGCAGAACCAATTTACGTAACCGTTCTCAAATGGAAGAGACGAAGGAGTCATTATCCGCAGCTCTACGTACTCCGCTCAGCCTGGTAACCTCCAGAGGGAGAAGGTCGACGGGAGAACAGCACTATGAGCTGGGCAGCTTCAGTACAGACAGCGGCTGTGACGACCCGGGGAGCAGCAGCAGCAGCAAGGCAGAGCCCACGGGGCGTCGTCTGGACGGCAGCAGTGTACAGGTGGTGGCAGGGTCGAGGGTCCACGTGGCGGAGACGGTGGTGATGGTGGTGGTGAAGGATATCAACGACAACTCTCCCGTCTTCCCCAACGCCACCATGTTCGGGGAGGTCCAGGAGAACGGCCCCATAGGTGAGTAGACCTGCTTGTACTCAATATGCTTAACAACATGTAAAAGTTTCATTTATGTGATCGCTGACAGAGTTAGAACGTACAAGTTCTCAACAAAGTTCATCTGTAACTATCTTTTCTACTTATAAAAAAAATGGGAGGAGGAAGAGCATATAATGCTTATGAAGCGACTGAAATAGAGTGCAAAGGCCAGACTTACACACCGCATGTCAACTAAGATATAACAGATAGAAATTGATATTCTAAGCAAAATTATTTTTGCTTCAATATTATCTGTATTATTCGCAAGTTGAGAGTTATAGTCACTTCAGCTCCTCAATAATTACGTTATACCAGAACCCGATAGGACTGTATATACTACAATCATTCTTATCGAAACAATATTTATATGTCCACTGCTGACTCTTTAATTTGAAAAACCTGTAATATTTTGCGGAATTCTACATTTTTTCCTCCAAAGTTTTCCAAATTTTCCGACAGCTGTTTTTAACTCTACAGATGTGTCCTTAAGTAGCCTTAAAAAATACGTACGAGTTTGTAGACTCCAAGCCCCCCCTTAAATCATCTTCTTAACAATGCTTAATGTGACAGATGATGTCTCCATATGTTTTCACAGACTCGTACACGGGAAGTCAACTGACAAGTCTAGCATTGAACAAAAGCCAGAAGATCAAAGTCTATTTTAGTATCAAATATCCGAATATATTTATATATGATAGCCTGATCCTTTTTGTTTCCAGATATGTGTGTGTGTGTGTGTGTGTGTGTGTGTGTGTGTGTGTGGGTGTGTGTGTGTGTGTGTGTGTGTGTGTGTGTGTGTGTGTGTGTGTGTGTGTGTGTGTGTGTGTGTGTGTGTGTGTGTATGTGTGTGTGTGTGTGTGTGTGTGTGTGTGTGTGTGTGTGTATGTGTGTGTGTGTGTGTATATGTGTGTGTGTGTGTGTGTGTGTGTGTATGTGTGTGTGTGTGTGTGTGTGTGTGTGTGTGTGTGTGTGTGTGTATGTGTGTGTGTATGTGTGTGTGTGTGTGTGTGTGTGTGTGTGTGTGTGTGTGAGTGTATGTGTATGTGTGTGTGTGTGTGTGTGTGTGTGTGTGTGAGTGTATGTGTATGTGTGTGTGTGTGTGTGTGTGTGTGTGTGTGTGTGTGTGTGTGTGTGTGTGTGTGTGTGTGTGTGTGTGTGTGTTTTGTATACGTATGTTTTCTTTGTTTGAGTGTGTTTTTTTGTATATGTGTGTGTTTGGGTATGTGTGTCTTTTATATGTGTGTATGTTTTGTACGTGTTTGTGTCTCTGCATGTAATTGCGTATGTGTGTGTGTTTGTGTATGTTTGTGTTTGTGGGTATGTGATTTATTCACCTAGTTGTACTCATCTAGTTGTGCTTGCGGGGGTTGAGCTCTGGCTCTTTCGGCCCCGCCTCTCAACTGTTAACTTTCTGTTAACCTGCTGTTAACTTAACTGTTAACTTACTCAACTGGTAACAGCTGTCTAACTCCCAGGTACCTATTTACTGCTAGGTAACAGGGGCATCAGGGTGAAAGAAACTTTGCCCATTTGTTTCCCCCATCGCCGGGGATCGATCCCCTGTCCACAAAATTACGAATCCTGAGTGCTGTCACTCAGCCACAAGGCGCCCAGCCGGTGATGTGTATGTGTGAGTGTGTGTGTGTGTGTGTGCCTGTTTTGTTTTGTTTTGAGATATATACAAGAGTTGTTACATTCTTGTACAGCCACTAGTACGCGTAGCGTTTCGGGCAAGTCCTTAATCCTATGGTCCCTGGAATACGATCCCCTGCCGCGAAGAATCGTTTTTTCATCCAAGTACACATTTTACTGTTGCGTTAAACAGAGGCTACAGTTAAGGAATTGCGCCCAGTAAATCCTCCCCGGCCAGGATACGAACCCATGACATAGCGCTCGCGGAACGCCAGGCGAGTGTCTTACCACTGCACCACGGAGACTGGTTGTGATAGTGTTTATGTACTCACCTAGTTGTACTCACCTAGTTGTGTTTGCGGGGGTTGAGCTCTGGCTCTTTGGTCCCGCCTCTCAACCGTCAATCAACAGGTGTACAGATTCCTGAGCCTATCGGGCTCTGTCATATCTACACTTGAAACTGTGTATGGAGTCAGCCTCCACCACATCACCCCCTAATGCATTCCATTTGTCAACCACTCTGACACTAAAAAAGTTCTTTCTAATATCTCTGTGGCTCATTTGGGCACTCAGTTTCCACCTGTGTCCCCTTGTGCGTGTTCCCCTTGTGTTAAATAGACTGTCTTTATCTACCCTATCAATCCCCTTCAGAATCTTGAATGTGGTGATCATGTCCCCCCTAACTCTTCTGTCTTCCAGCGAAGTGAGGTTTAATTCCCGTAGTCTCTCCTCGTAGCTCATACCTCTCAGCTCGGGTACTAGTCTGGTGGCAAACCTTTGAACCTTTTCCAGTTTAGTCTTATCCTTGACTAGATATGGACTCCATGCTGGGGCTGCATACTCCAGGATTGGCCTGACATATGTGGTATACAAAGTTGTGTGTGTGTGTGTGCGCGCGTGCGTGTACGTTTGTGTCTCTTATGTATTACAGTTGACAGAAAATTCCACGAAACGGCTGAGAAAAGTTAGGTTTTGCACATAAATTGGAAATCAGTGAAGCGTGATTACCACTGTAATTGTGTTGGCCTCCGGTAGAGGGCTGCACACATTCTTTTATATGCAAATTGCTGCTTTGACAGTTTTTATTGCGCACGTTGCATGCACTGGTTTGTTGCAGCAAAATTGCCATACATGAGGGTGAAAGGTTTTCTTTTTTTTCACTGCGAGGGGGTGGGGGGGAGGGGTGGTGGGCCCTACGTTAGATGCTCTAATGAGGAAAGTTGAGAGCACGCTGAGCTGGTCTCGGTATTTTACGTTCATATTAACAGAAACGCTTTTTCTCGAAGGAGTTCCTTGTCAGACTCCAATAAGTAATGATGCTGTAGGATTGGATGAAGAAGGTCCCGCACACACACACACACACACACACACACACACACACACACACACACACACACACACACAGAAGGAGTGTGTGTGTGGACTGGACACACCAGTCCAAAAGGAAAACAGTGAAATGAAGATGAGAAACCCATGGTTTAATCAGAGATGTAGGCTAGCTAAGCAGCAAAGTAAAAGGGCATGGAGAAACTATAGGAATAACAGGACACTGGAGAGCAGAGAAAGATACCAAAATGCCAGGAATGAATATGTCAGGATGAGAAGAGAGGCAGAAAGACAATACAAAAATGACATCGCAAGCAAGGCAAAGACTCAGCCTAAATTGCTGCATAGCCACATCAGGAGAAAAACAACACTAAAGGAACAGGTTATGAAATTTAAGAAAGGGGCAGAAGGATTCACTACAAACGACAAGGAAGTGTGTGAGGAACTGAATAAGAAATTGCAGGTCTTCACCTTAGAGCAAGGAGAAATTCCAGAGATAAGAGAGGGAATAGTTAACCAGGAACCACTGGAAGAGTTTGAGATTACCAGCGGGGAAGTAAGGAAGTGTTTACTAGAGTTGGATGTGACAAAGGCTATAGGCCCAGATGGAATCTCCCCATGGATACTAAAGGAAGGAGCAGAAGAACTGTGCCTGCCACTCTCCATAGTGTATAACAAATCACTGGCAACAGGGGAACTGCCAGAAATTTGGAAAGCAGCTAACGTAGTCCCGATATACAAGGGGATAGACAGGAGGCACTGAACTACAGGCCAGTGTCCCTAACCTGCATACCATGCAAGCTGAGGGAGAAGATTGTGCGAAGAAAGCTAGTGGAACATCTAGAGCGAAGGAACTTCCACAACGCAAGTAAATTAAAAGGGGAAGGGAAATAAAGTCAAAAACTTAATATAATATAATGATCACCGTCACCAATAAATATATATAAAGGATTACACGGGGGGGGGGGGGGTATAAACACTATAATACACTGTCGTCTTCTTCTGAAGACCCTGGATCCTCTCGGTGCCAAGCTCTCGGTGCTCTCGTGGCCTCACGACGAATCCTTCGAGAAGCTGAGTCTACCCTGGCCACAGGTCAGCCAAAACACAGTTCCACTGGGGGCACCGCCGTGGAGGCCGTCAACCACAAGTCCAGCAGATGGCTGGCAGGTTCCGAATCAGCAACGCTGGTTAGGCCACTCCACGAGCGATACTAGGGTAGCGCCCTAGTCAGGAGCCTCGTGTGATACCACAGATCACTCTCCTATCCGCAATACCCCAGTGGTTAAGCGTCTCCACCAGCCAGTCCCGGGTATGACAATCCTTCAACTGCCGCTTCACAGGTAGGGTAAAACCACAGTGTTCATCCGGGAGGCGACTCACAGCTGCTGCAGCAAAACACTTGGTGTCGAGACGGCTGCCTTGGGTAGACTGACTCAACTTCCCTTACAGCAGTCCCAGGTCGACTCTGTAAGCAGACACGTCATCAATAATAGAGACACACTAGGACATGTCACTTACCGGCTCAGACCCAAACGCCCACCTATTCACTCCATAGATGGCGTTACTGTCTGAGCTTCACCTCACTAGAGGTCAGCAGCGGCTGTGTTGTGAGCTGAACAGGACTGGAAACTGGCCCTGGTGGCCAGTACTCCTCGTCCTCACCAGGTGTCGTCGTCCATTTGGAGGGGGTTTCGGGAGCTGACCCACAGATGGCGTGGTCGTCACTGCTCCAGGCTCGGACGCTGGATTCGGGTCCGTAACAGTCAGTCCTTGGACCTATACTGTTTCTGATATATGTGAATGATCTTCCAGAGGGTATAGACTCGTTTCTCTCAATTTTTGCTGATGACGCAAAAATTATGAGGAGGATTGAAACAAAGGATGATAGTAGGAGGCTACAAGATGACCTAGACAGACTGAATGAATGGTCCAACAAATGGCTGCTAAAGTTCAACCCGAGTAAATGCAAAGTAATGAAACAAGGTAGTGGAAACAGGAGGCCAGACACAGGATACAGA